AGGGGGGGGGAAACCATTATTATCGCTTGGGCGGCAAAATAGACGAACCATTTCCCATTTCAGCATCCAGTATTTCTTGGGGGGCAACCATTCTTATCATATTCTTTTCATTTGGGCGGCAAGATAAAAGGATCATTGGCATCCATTGTTTCTTCCCGTGCATCTTGCCATAACATCAAGCAGAAGCAAGTCGAGAGATCAGTTCACATGCTGCCACTGAGCAACAGGCGACCAAGGCGGAATCTCCAATGCTGCCAGCAGCTCGGGCATCGCAAGGCACATGCCAAAGACCTCATGGCTGCGAGTTCAGGCTCCTCCAATTTTCTAACGCCTCAGTGAAACTTGGTCTTACTGGCCTGTCAACAGAATCGTTAGGCATTAGCAGGCTTAATATGCCTGAAACCCTCAGATGCCAGCGGGGGTAAATCCCACCACCTGGAAGCACGGCTGTGCTCAATCAAGAAAGCGTGTTTGGCTCAGGACCAACTGTGGAGTCTCAGGGCGTGTCCACAAGCGTTGTGCATTTCCAGAATGGAGACGCAAGGAAGCTCCTGCAATAGCAGTTGAAAAAAAGGCGCACAGGGGCTAAGTGACATGCCTGGTGTCCTGCAACATGGATGGTGCATTCCATCACCGCTGACTGGGCGTTCTTTGCGGCCTTCCTTCTCAGCCTCATCGTTGGCATCCTGACTTGTTGCTTGTGAGGGAAGGGCTCAACTCTGAAAGCTGTCCCTGGCCTGCACCTGGCCAGGCTTCTCGCAGCAATCCTCTCATTTAAAAACATGATGACTGCTGAGGTCTTCTACTTTTTTGTTCTTCTTTGCGCTGACGTCTCACGCTCCTGTCTTTGGCGTAGCCTCGGCGGCTCCATCGCACCAGGACGGCTATCGAGTGTGCTTCCTTCTTGGCTTCGGTTGCTCCAGTTGAGGTCGGGTATGGAAACGTTAAGTGATGTGCGGCTGTGGGCACTAGCCCGTGGCAATGCTGTCACGCATCTGCTTCTGCATCCTGCAAGCCTCTTGGATCTCTTCCAAGAGGCCTACTCAGCTGCTTTTCCATTGAGCACGGCTTGGAAACTATGCAATCGAATTCTGCTGGAGCCAAATTGTAGGATTGTAGGGCTGGCATTGCGTCAATTGTCCCGGCACTGGACCCGCTGTCCACAGAAGTAACACTCAAGGCAAAGGCTATGGAGAGAAGCCAGCTGGAAACAGAAGAGTTTGACCCCTGTGAAGCACTGCACTACATCGGAGCTCGCCAAATTAGTCCAAGAAACAAGACCACAGCAGGCAGCTTTTTTTCGCTCTACCTCTCTGCGTCAAATTGCACCAAGAAAATCTACGGAGAATATTCTTCTTCATGCCACTTGGCCATGCAGCAGCTGCTGCGAACAAGACATTGCTTCTCTTAAGGTGGTGAGATACAAGGTTATTGTTAATGTTGATGCGCTTTTACCACTGCGTGCCAAGGCAAAGAGCTTCAATTACAGCAAGGGGCATCAAGGTGCTGGTCATGACACATCAGTGCAGCAGCTTAATGCTTAAGGTCAGAAACCAACGCATGTCTTGCAACCAACGTCTCAGCCAATCACTACAGCAGCTGCACCCCTGAAGAAAAAGGTAAAATGTGGCATCTGGAAGAGGAGGCTTGCAAGCCATGAAGTAAGGCACCTGTATCGCGGCTGCCCCATGTTGGGGAGCTGCTCCCAGGCCTGGGCAAGTTGAAGTTACAAATGGCAGCGCATTACAGTGCTGCTGCCCCTGGAGACTGTGGACATCTGTGGACGGTGCATGAGTTGAAGGGTTGAATCTTTCGGCTGTGTCCAGCGGGGCCGTGCCACTGCTGCCTGGGCTATTGCTCCACAAGGGTTATTTTTTTTTGGCAGCCTCGGAATTCAATCGACTAGACCTCCTCCACCAAGATGTATCGCAACTGACAGCAGGAATTTTGTGCAAGTGACATCCAGCTGACACAAGAAGACCTTCATATCTGTACAGGATGTTAAGGCTCCTTATCATCGAATCTGCTCGCCATGGCCACGCGCAACCCCACAAGGTGAGATGGAGTTGCGCCTATTGGTGTGTACAATCTTGCGCATCATCAAAATCCCGTCTTAGCTTTCCACCGCCCAGCACGTAGAGGCAGCCCAACGCAACCACACAGGTTGCGCCCCATCTATGTCTCTGCATGGGCGGCAACTCCTGGCTTGGACAAGATGCCTTGACCCAGGAAAGCAACTACTAGGTGCGCGGGACATGCCCGCCCGTGGTACGGAAAGGGGATAGAGCTTCTTCGGTATGTGGAAAAATATAGCAGGCGCGTGACTTTTGGAATAAAGGCAAGTTAAGGTCGAAAAGTGGGCCTCGTCAAAACTACTTTGGCAGCTGAGCTTGCAGAGCTCGCTGCTTTTCGCGTTTGAGCTGCGTCCTGTTGCAGTTCGTTTGTGCGAGACTTGCGAAGGAGAGCAGTTTTGAAAGGGCGTCCTGGAAGAGTGTACTGCAAACTACAGCGTCCAGAGGTCTTGAGGCTACGAATACTTAAAATTCTTGGCGTGGGAGGTCTTGAGTGATTACGGTACTGTAAACTGCAGTTCTTACAGGCCACCTAGACGAATTACAGCATCTGGGGCTCCGATGAGGCTGCAAATTCGGGCCCCGAGACATACTGTGAATACCCTAGACGGCAGCTTCTGCCTGCATAAGAAAACAGTGGAGGGGTCGCGGGAGGCAGCCCTTCCAAACAGCGGG